AAAAAAAAAAAAAGAACTACCAGAGCCACTCTGGACACTTATGGGCCCTTTCAGCCTTTGACCGAGCTACACTGGCTGGGACTTTACCTGGGAAAATGAAAACAATCAGCTCACCCAAGTTGAAAATAATTTGTCTTGAGACTTGGGGACTTTTCCTTCTGTGCAGCCCTAGCTCCTATTTGTGTCTTCCAGCAAACTGGACAGAACATGCACCCTTATCTGGTCCTCATAACCAATCCCTTCCAGTTCCTTTAGCCACCAGAACTTTCCTTGATAAGGCCTTTATTAATGTTTCTGATAGCCTTTTTATTTGGACCATGCATATTTAATCTCTTAGTCAAATTTGTATCCTCTCATTTAATAGCTGTTAAACTACAAATGATGATCCAAGCCAAGGACCAAAACCTGCCTTCATATCTAGATCTCATCAAGGAATCCTTGAAGGAGGAGTATGGCTCCTTAGCCCCTAGGTCAAGCAGGACAAGTTTCCACAGTCTCCATTCCTATTCATCAGGAAGCAGCTAAGTCAGACATCTCATCCTCAGCACCCCTTAAAGACTTTCAGGGACCGAGTCTCTCAGACAGAATAATACTGACAGTACAACTGGCACTGATGGACTACTCTCTTCCACTCATCTGAACCTGGGCAACACCCTATGGCTAACCCTCTGACCTTTGTCCTAAGGCTTACTATTCAGAGGCAGAGATAAGAAAAACCAAGAGCCCTGAGCCTGCCCTGGAAAATTCTGAAATTCCAAACCAAGACAAATGCATGCCAGACCTTCTGGCATGACCTGAAATAACTTTTCTCCACTTGGAACTCACTGTAAGTTCATGCTAGGGACTGCATCTCATACATCCAATTATGACAATGAATTATGGGAAAGAACGTGTGCAGGAGACACAGCTGACATGACTCAGCAACCTGTCACTCACACTGTCATTCATGCTCTGAAAGCCCCAGTGAGAGGTACCCTAGACCCAGTGCACCCTTTTAAATCCCTAAGCCAATGCACTCAGCACTCGTCCCATTTTCCTTTCTGTTGGCATGAGCTCGATCACTCCAGGCATACTGTGTTGCCCGATTAAACTTTGCTGCTGTCTCCTTACTGTTGCATACCATATCCAATTCTTTGTTCATTGAACACAAGAACCTAGGAACCCGTCTGGGACCTCATCACCCACAGTAACAAAGAGGCTTCTAAAATGTGGCTTTTTTAAAAATTTTCTTTCAATTTAATAAGTTACAAGCCAGAGACTCCAACTAGCCAAGCCTGTTTATTAAACATATCATTTTCATGGGCTTCCCCATCTACAGGCTGTCTAGTCACAAGACTGACAACTCTGAATGACCCATACCTCCAGCTTTTCCAGCCACACTCAGCTGATCCAGCAGTCACCTCTCTAGGATTACCCTCTAAAGGATACAACCTAGGAGAACACCCTGGGCTAGTGGAACCCAGGCTCCCCCTTGTGGTGTGTTCCTAAATTAAGCATGTTATATTCAGCTCCTTCAGTCCCCTAAATGGTGAGAATGTTCATAAGTGAATTCCCGTGTTATCTTGTCCATTACTGAAAAAGGATCCAATCTATTCCTTTTCCTCTTTCCAGCCACAGTATACTGGGGCTGGTGTGCTCACATTAGCTTCTAGAATATCTCTCATTTAATGAAACCCAACAACGAGGAGAGGTCACAACCACAACTGCCCAAACTGCAAACGGTAATAAGGATGGAGGCTGTTCCACCTCTGAAAGGTTAGAGATGAGGAAGAGGAGACTCACTGGGATGGAGAATGGGACCAGGGATAAACTGATCCAAGTCAGTTCCTGATCTCAAGTGGCCAAAGCTAAACTCTGAATAATGAGAGACAAGAGACAGACAGAATATCCCATGAATGTTGAAAGCTTCCTCAACAGAATGCTTGCTTGTGGCTAGCGTCCATCCTCACCCAGCAGTCTGCATGCTGCTTCTGAACATGCAGCACAAGAGGACATACTGCTGTGTCACCTGAAACCTTCATGACAACCTATGCCTGAAAATGACCCAACATCTTTAAAACATGTCCTCTCAACTGAACTGGAGGAAACATAGGCTTCTGGAGAAGCTCTTATACTCACATTCTGGATAAATCCCAGAGTTCTCAAGGATGCTTTACTCATAGACTAATGCTAGTACCTGGGTGTCTGGCTACTCAGCTCTGCGTGCTGCAGCCAACGAAGGGAAACTGAAGGCTTCTTGGCTCCTTAGCTGGTTGGGGGCTGAGGGCACAGGGCTTCAGCTACAGCACAGGAAGAGTGGAGGTTTCCTTGCAGTTCAGAGGTTTATTAGTGAGTGCATTTGGGCCAGCGGGTGCTTACAGGCTGGATCCCTACAGCCTTGGTGAACTGCCTGTGAGGGCGGATGAGGCTCACTGCTCAGCTGGTCCCTGGTGATGTTACCCCAGGAAGATGATCAGTCTTTCTCCTAGATCCAAGGTGCCAGGGCTCAAGCAGGTACCATCAGAGAAATTCCCCTTGCGTTTTCAGTGTCTGAGCTGGGGGGATGAGAGTTTTGAGGATCTTGGTGTAATAGGGGCCAAACACCTGCTGATTGTGATGTGTCAGGTTGATGAACTTCTGGCCCAGTTCAGCCAACTCTGCCTCAATGAATGTGAGGCCTCCAGAAAGGTCTAACAGAGAGTGCTGCACACCAAGAAGCAAACAGCACTTGAGAAATAAATGGATCCGCTGACCTGTGACCAAAAGAAGACACTTCTCAGGGAAAGGGCAACCAGATTTCATGCAGAAACACTGGGCCTGCCCTGCCCTCTACTCACCCACCTTCTAAATTAACTGAGATATTCACCAACCTGCCCACTCACCTATAGATAAGGAAATGTGTCTTGTTTGGGAAAGGAGCTGTTACTAGCTCTCAAGGACAAAGCAAAGATTAAAAAAACAAAAACAGCCAGCATGGTGCCACAGGCTTATAATCCCAGCATTTAGGAGGCTCAGGCACAAGGATCACTGCAAATTAAAGGCCACACTGGACTATGTAGTGAGTTCAAGGCCAGTCTGAACTACATAGTAAAACCCTGTCTCAAAAAGCCAAAAAAATCTAGTGGGTTAGTAAATTTGAGTACTCAACACTGTTTTAAGTACCACTGGTTAGATCTCAGGGAGCATATATACAACAGGAGGATCCCAGACTGACTGTTAGACGACTGGGGTTAGGAGAGATCTGGCCAAGTTTACAGCCTCCATTCCAACGGGGGGATGGGGGAGTTCCCTACTACAGGACATGTCTTCCAGCCTAACACAGATTTGTTATTGTGGTTGGTGGTGGCGGTGGTGTGTGTGTGTGTACATGCACGCATGTGTGAAATGTCTTGGACTGCAGTCAAAGAGTCACCAATAAGCCAGGGTGACTTAATTGGGTTGGCTGGACAGTATTTTACACCCAGAAGTCATGAATTCCTGCCTGCAAATCTTCCTTAGAACCAGAGTCAGTCTTGGAACTGTAAGGAATACATTTTTAACCCAGAATAACAGTGACTGGAGACTTGTCCAATGACCTGTCTTCTATCGTGAAACAGTTCTGTACCTGACTTCCAGGGCCGGGGTCTCTTCCCTCCTCCAACATTGTCATCACCCACAGCTACACTCACCAATGACACTGCGGACACAGTTCTCCTTCTTGGTAATGTTCTGGAGCTGTCTTATCAGAGATGCTGTGTTGTCACTGCTCAGAGCTTTGATGGATTTCTGAGGCTTTGATGGATTTCCTTAGATACCTGTTCACTCAGAGTCTGCATAGCATCCTCAGTCCTAGACCATGAACAAGAGTAGGGTGACATTCAGGAATGGCCCAGCAGAGGCACAGGAACCCAGGATGCACCACACCAGAAGTCAGGCTCCCTTGAGGGAGAGACTCAGTCACACTACCCCAACCTGCAGGCAGCAGGCCCAAGGGGCAGGTGCAGTGTCTTCACTGCTACTCATAAGACACCAACTACTCCATAAGGTGCCAGGCACTGGTTCTTAGAAGATAAACCATAATACTAACTCTGGAAAAGAGCTTGAAGGTTCTGCCACAGGATCCACTCAGCACTGTTTAGTCCCCTGGATTTTACTTATTTTTAATTTTTTGTGCTGGGGACTGGACTCAGGGCCGGGCGCTTGCTAGGCAAGCACTCTACCACTAAGCTAAATCCCCAGCCCTTGGATTTTTGTTTTGTTTTGTTTTTTTGAGCCAGGGTCTCACTATGTAGCCCAGGCTGGGCTCAAACTCACAGCAATCCTGCCCAATCTCCCATGTGCTGGGATTACAGGCATGTGCCACCACGCATGGCTAATTGTTATATGTACAGTTTAAAGCCTTTCCTGGACATGTGACATGATCATTAGTCCTATCTTATTGATTACAATTACAACCCTGGCCGTCTGGGTTTTCTTTATTGTTTTGCAGTGCTGAGGATAGAAACCAGGGCCACATGGATGTTAGGTGAGGGCTAGACCTCTAAGCTACATTTCCAGCCCTGAACTTGCCTTCTTTTTCCTTTGGTGTGATGTTCAAATTTGTAGATGTTTTGTCAATACTGCTGACTGACCAGTCCTGGGTATGTGCAGTAACACCAGCCTGCTGGCACCCACCCAGATGGATAATGACTCATTTGTAGCTAACTATCCTCCATCCTACTCTTTTTGGAAGAAAAGTTTTATTTTTCTGTCACAAGCTTCAAGATTACTTATGGGGGGGAAAAAAAAAACGTTCTTTGTGGATGGCTCCAAAGGCCCTTTCTGTGGTTTGTGGTGCATTGTAAGCAGTAATTCATTACCTGCCTGTGTCCTGAATATCACATATCACCCTCTGCTCTAAAAAAAAATTTCAATGAAGCTTACCTGGGATTGAATTCCTCCAGCAGGGCCTTAGTGAGGCATTTCAGTTTATCCACAAACTGGGGTGAGCCACATAAAACACTGCCAGAGAAACTGCTAGCCACGAGCAAGACTGAGGCCAGGATGGTTAACTGCTGCAGCTGGGCCTCCAGCTCCTCCAGGCGGGTTCTGTCCATCTGCAGGGTCTGGGAACCAGGGAAGAGCAGGACAGGAAGCTGTCAGGACAGGAAGCCCTGGACACAAAGCAAGGCAATATCCCCCACTCCTACCTCAGGAAACTCTTCATTTTCAGGGTCCCACAGGAGGAGGTTCAGGAAGCCTTGGGACAACACCACTGCAGGGCTGAGGGGCTCAGGGTTGCTGACTGCCTTGTTCGGAGAAGGGCCAGCCACGCTGGAGGAGTCGGCACTGTCTGGGCAAGCCAGTGGTGTGGTCAGGTCTGCTGCTGCTTGGGCCAGCCACTTGGTAGTGTGATCGAGGAGGCCTAGGACAGGGAAGGAACTGGGTAAGCATGTTTGTCTCTGGGGCTTCAAGACCAAGGTTCTTTTCAAGATACACTCCTGCTTAATAAATAAGTTTTGGGATCTTTCTGTTTTGGTTAAATGTTCCCTCTCCCTCCCCTTACCGAAGGAAAAAGCATTCTATGCCTAAACAGGCAGGGTACTGCATTGTGGAAGCACAACAGGCTGCACCTTTATGCTCTTCCCTCCCATTATCCTTACCAGGCTGCTTACCAGGCTGCTGGTCGAGTTGTTCCTGGAACTCAGCCCGCTTATACTGGATGGAATGTTCCTGCAGTTGGGGCTGAAGGCTCTGGATGGTGTAGCTCACCATGTCCATTTTCATCAGGCCCAGAACCTGGAAGATCCCTCTGAGATAGAGAGAAAGAGAGTATTTATACAATGAAAGGAAATCTAGTGAGAGGGAAGCCCACATAAGAAGCCATTAAAACACTGTATTCTCAAGCTGGGCATGGTGGTGCACACCTGTGATCATCATACTTGGCTGAGGCAGGAGGACCACTGAGTTCGAGGCCACCCTGGGCTACACAGGGAGTTCAAGGCCAGCCTGAATTACACAGCAAGACCTCATCTAAACAAAATAAAGCAAAAAAACCCCAAAACTAAATAAATAAACCATTGTATTCTCCCTATCCAAGTACTAAGCAGGCCCAACCCTACTTAGCTTCCTAAATCAGACAAGATCGGGTGCATTCAGGGTGTGTGACCGTAGACAATCACTGTATTCTCAAGTTAAGAGGCATCATAAAACTACCTCCTACATTCACAAAAGATGACAGGTGGCCTATGACCCAAGACCAGAAGGAATTAGGTGCAGAACTGGAAATAGCTAGGTCTCTTTCACTAGGATCATTCTGTAATCTCAAAAGGGTAAAGTCAGTGGAAGGAAACACGGCAATCTTCTCTGGAAGGTGGGTTTATAGGTGATGTTATTGTAAGTGATGCTATTTCCTGACTCTCTGGCCAAACTGCTTTTTAAATTTTAATTTTTATTATTTACTTTCTGGGTCTCAGCTCCTTAGTTCCTGTAGCAATGAAACAGGTGTAATCTCCCATCCCTTCCCTACACTATGTGACACAGGGAAGGGATGTTTTCAGTCCTGAAAGGAAAGAATTCTACCTTTTGGCAGCATATACACAATGGGGCACAATCAATCCAAGCAGAACCACAAGGAAAAGAAAAAACCAACAGGCCAGAGGAGAAAGGGGGCAGAGTCAGGGCTTCAGCAGGGAGGAGCCTGTCAAGACAATGACTGCAATCCAGGATCTGGCCCAGCTTTTCCAGGCCCTGGGGCTGGGGGTTTCCAGGGGGCAGTGATCCAGGTCCACACCTCAATAACCCAACAGCGTCTGTCGTGTCCTCAAGTGTCTGCACTGCTTCATCTCGGACTGGTGCACACAACAGTGTCATTATGTTCAGAATGTACTGGGAAAGGGAAGAGACATCCAGGGTCCCGTGTTCTGCTTCCTGCTTGAGGAAGTCTGCAACTAAAGCTTCTTCAATTTCACTTCTTAGACGGTTCTGGCGTGGTAACAGTAGTGACAAGAAGATCTACCCCGAAAAGAAAGTCAAAGGAGGAGTTAAATTCTTCTGAGAGCCTCAAACTTTCTCCAACAGGCAAGCCCTTTAGCTACATACATCCAGCTACAACCATCTTTTGTGGATCAAAATGCTGGGATCCTAAATTTCCTATAGAATACAATTTATCTCCATTTAGGGGCTGGTGATAATTCATAGTTAAAGGGGATGAACTACAGCAATAATAATGTACCATTTTCAAGGCAGAATGAGATAAATACATTCAAAGAGGACAATAAAAAGTTCAGAGTACAACCAACATAAACTATTAGCACACAGTAATGAGGTACTCAATTTTAAAAGGTAAACATTTTTGAGATTATTTTAAAGGGCAAGAATGAAACAGGCAAGGTCGGGCCAGGGATGTAGCTCAGGGGCACCTCACCTGCCTCACAAGGGCAAGGTTGTGAGTTCAATCCCTGGTACCAAAAAAAAGAAATAGGCAAGGGCATTGCTATGAGTCACTTGGAAAACCCTACTGACCCCAAACATAAGTCCTTGGTGGACAGGGACTCTTCATTTACCTGTGTGACTGTAATACAACCACATGGTTAGAGAACATGAGGATGGGGTAAAATGAATGTTTAATTGAATGGGAGACTGGTTATAGCAAAATCCCAACTCTTTAGCTCTGTGTTAAACAAATAAAATGAGATTTGCCTCAAACTATTAATTATTGATAAGTTATGAAAGCTACCAGTGTGGAGGCTCTCTTCCAAATCTACCCTTTAATGCCTCCTCTCAGCAAGTTCTACATCACGGAAGCCTCTCTTTGTTCAAAATACTGTGTGGTTTCTGTCTCCTCATTGTACCCCAACTGATAAATCGGTGCCGTGAGGTTTGAACTCAAATAATCACATGTCCATTGGATCTGATGAATGAGAAGGAGCAAGTACTTTGCACATCTTAGAAAGATGTGCAAACTAGAGGATGGCAGAAATTCAGAGGCCTGGCACCTCAAGGTTTCTATAGCTCCAGTGGTCTGGAGCTTGTTGGGGGATCCCCTTCCAGATGAAGGAAAATCTGCTATACCTAAAACCACCCACCCTGAAAGAGGAACAACACTTGTAGCCCTTTGGGGATTTTTGAGGCAATATATACCAAATTTGAATTTGCTACTTTGACACTCATACAGAATGACACATAAGGTTACAAATTTCAAGTGAATTCTAGAGCGGGAGTAGGCTTTACTGCAGGTTCAGATTGTAGTATGAGCCATTCTACCACCTGGGTCTTATGGTCCAGTGGATCTACTCATAAATGAAGTGTCTATGGCAACTGAGGATTCTGTATAGAGTAGCCTGCAAACACCAATAGGAACTCACAACACAGACCTCTAGGATTCTGAAACAAATCTATGGTCTCTCTGGAGATAACTAGCTGCCTTTTGAGAAAGAGTTTCTGACTTACTACCAGGCCTTGGTAGAAAGTAAAATGTCATTATCAAATGATCACATGGCCTAAGCTTCCCATCTGGAACTAGGTGCTGTCTAATGTACCCAGCCAGTAACACAGGATAAGCACAGCACACTCTATCATCAAATAAAAATAGCCTATAAGCAACCAAGCATATACTGCTGTAAGGATGGATACACAGACAACAGAACAGAGATCTCAGAAATAAAACCTGAAAAACAGGGTCAAATGATTTTGAACAAGGCCCAGACTACTTAATGGGGAAAGAACAGTCTTTTTAACAGACAGTGCCAAGAAAACGATATCCACATGCTAAAGAATGAAGTTGGACCTTTATCTTATCCCACAAAAAATAAATTCAAAATGGGTAAAAGACCTAAACATAAGAGCTAAACTATAAAATACTTAAAAGAAAACACAGGAAGGGTTGGGGGTGTGACTCAGTGGTAGAGCATCTGTCTAGAGTGCACAAGGCCATGGGTGCAAGCCCCAGCACCACAAAGGAAAACAAAAGAAAATACCTAAAAGTAAATGTTTACGATCTTGAATTCGGCAGTGAGTGTGGTGTCACATGTCTATAATCCCAACACTCTGGGAAGCTGAGGCAGGTGGATTGCAAGTTTGAGCTCAGCCTAGATAACTTAGTGAGACCTCTTCTCAAAACAAAAAAGGGCTGGGAATGTAGGTCGGTGTAAACCACCTAATTTCAACCCTCAGTTCTATAAAACAAAAACAAAAGCAAACAAATGAAAAAACCCAAGATCTTGAATTTGGCAAGGTATGACACTAAAAGCATATGAAACCAAAGGAAAAGTAAATAAAATGAATTTAAAATTAAAATTTTGACATCTCAAAGGACAAAAGGTAAATTAAAAAGACTAATCACAGAATGGGAAAAAAGTTTGCAAATCATCTCACAAGGGTGTGGCACCCAGAACATGTAAAGAACTCTTACAATTCAATGACAAAGGACAGCTGTCCAATACAGATCTCCGATGTTAATACTGCTCGCAGTTTAAACCCTGCTGGTCTGAGGAATGTCAACTATTCAACATGGAGGCAGAAGTCAATAAGCTGGAAATGATGGGCCCAGGATTAGAGGCCAAGACTCTCAAGTTCCAGCTGTCCTGAATTTGAGACAATTTCTTGGTAGACTTAACCCAGCTAAGTAGCTGAACTGAACCATTTAAAAGAAGGGTCTTACATTTCTCAGACAAAGAAGTAAAAGCAGCAAATAAACATAGGAAAAAATGTTCAACATCGCTGGTCTTTCGAGAGATGCAGATGAAAACGAGATTCGACTTCACCCCAGAAAGAATGGCTGCTGTCAAGAAATCAACCAATAACAAATGTTGGCGGGGTTGTGGGGAGAACGGAACCCTTCTCCATTGTTGGTGGGAGTGCAGACTGGTGCGACCACTGTGGAAATCAGTATGGAGATACCTCAAAGAACTAGGACTAGTGGTCCCATTTGACCCAGCTGTTCCTCTGCTGGGTATCTTCCCAAAAGAATTAAAAGAATCATACCACAGCGATAGACGTGCACCCACGTTTATAGCAGCACAGTTTGTAATAGCTACAGCTTGGAAACCAGCCCCAGTGCCCATCAACTGGAGACTGGATAAAGATGTGGGGCTGGAGATTTATCTCAGTGGTTCCACCGCCTGCCTCACAAGCGCAAGGTCCCGAGTTCAATACCCGGTACCAAGAGGAAAACAAAACGTGTTTTTTTAATAAAATGAAGTACTACTCAGCCATAAAGAACAACAAACTAGAGATATTTATAGCTAATTGGATGCATATTGAGCCCATACTCTTAAATGAAATAAATAGGGCACATGTGTGTAAATAACCGAATAGTTTCTCTGCTGTGAGACACTGAAAGTGTAAATAAGGATTAAAGTGATTAAAACAGACTGGGGATTTAGCTCAGTGGTTCTGCCGCCTGCCTTGAAAGTTGCAAGCACAAGGTCCCGAGTTTGATCCCTGGTACCGAAAAAAAAAAAAAAAAAATTGGGGCCAAGGATTTAGCTCAGTGGTTTCATCACCTGCTGCGCAAGCGCAAGGACCCGAGTTTGATCCCCAGTACCAAAACAAAAAATGATTAAAACAAATAATTGATAATTTGAAATAGGAAAAAAAGGTACAAAGGGGTAGGGGAAGTGGGAGGGGAAGGGGAAAGGAAAGAAGGGAAAGGAAAAATTACGAGAAAAGGAAAAAATGGAAACAAAGTCTTTGTAAATAGGGAAGGGTGGAGGGGATGGAGCACAGGGAATGGGGAAAAAAATAACCAAGATACATCATGTATAGGTACAAGCGCCCAATGATAAATGTAAATCTATTGTATACCTAAAATGTACCAATAAGAGAATTTAAGGGGGGCGGGGGAAGAAGGGTCTTGCTACATAGTCTAGACTGGCTTTGAACTCGCTGTGTAGCCTAGGCTGGCCTGGAACTTGCCGTCGTCCTGCCTCAGCTTCCTGAGTACTTTGATTGTAGATGTGTGCCACCATCCCTGGCCCTGTTCCAGAAGGCTGACTCTGATGTGGATTACATTTAGTACAGGCTGGAATATGAAATCAAGTCTAATCATCTTGATTCAGCAGGCAAGAAAAATCGAGTTACACTCTGAAAGGAATTGTTAGCAATAAAGTCTCAATATCAAACTTTGTATGCACGTTTTAAACCAGCTGCTGTTGAGCAGAAAGAGACTAAGAGCCCCATTTGTACTACTCTGAATAAAACTATGACCATGATATAAGAACTACAAAAGCAAACAGATCGGGAGCTGTTGCTGATGATGGAAGAAGAAAAAACAGTGGGAGAGCAATTAAAAATCTCACATGCCACACTTAGGAAGAAATGAAATTGCAGTAGGGAACATTACTGAAGAAGAGATCAATTCCTGAGGCTTCTGGGAAGACATCTTGTTAACAGTTCATAAGCAGAGGTGGGGAGCCAGTGAATGGGGAGAAGGTTCGACCTGAGTGACAGGACTGTGATGCCTTTCATGAGACAGGGGGATATAAGAAGGGGAGACAATATATTAATAAAATTCAGCCAATGAATGGAATGGGAATAAAGGGATTTAAGCATATACACAGTTTTGTAATTTTAGGTCCCTTAACACTAATTTCTTTTAGTATTGTTGGGATAATGTAGATGTTCTGGCCTATCATAAAAGAATGTTTTATGGACATTTCAGTCCATCGTTGCATGAATGAGTGTGCATTAAAATTAAAGTATAGGCAAAATATTTGTGTTATACATTCTGTATAGGTACAAATCTTTATTTTTGAAAATGGTGATGGTAAATGGGGTTTCATTACTGGTGAGACCACTAATATGTGAAGTATAGCCTCTCACAAAGCTAAGCTAACACTAACATGTTGGATTTCCTGTTAAAAAAAAAAAAATTCAGTGACAAAAAGACAAACAGTCCTATCTAAGGATGGGCAAAAGACTCACCAAAATGACATTTTTAGTTAAAGGGCTAAGACTTAAGTAAACATTTCAAGGAGTTTTAAAAATAGTCAGAAAACATATGAATAGATGTTCAATAATTTTTGCCATTAAAGAAACACAAGTCAAGGGCCAGGGATTTAGCTCAGTGGTTCCGGTGCCTGCCTCGCAAGCGCAAGGTCCCGAGTTCAATCCCCGGTACCAAAAAGAAACACAAGTCAAGACCCCAGTAAGATACCACATCACACCACTAAAACAGCGGGGAGGGGCTGGGAAGGGGAGGGAGAGGGGAAATAGCAATGTTAGGCAAGATGAAGGGAAACTGGAACCATGACACATTGCTGGTAAAAACATAAAATGGTATAGCTGCTATGGGAAACAGTTTGGCAGTTCCTCAAAATGTTAACCAAAAATTACCATGTGGGCTGGGGATTTAGCTCAGTGGCACCACACATGCCTCACAAGTGCAAGGTCGTGACTTTGATCCCCAGTACCAAAAAAACGAAAACAAAATCAAAGAATTACCATGCAAAGCCAGGCGTGGTGGGGCACACCTGCATTAGTAGCACGGAGAAAGGCTAAGGCAGGAGGATCACAGGTTTGAGTCCTACCTGGGCAACTCAGTAAGACTCTGTCTCAAAAAATTAACAAAGGGGCTGGGGATTTGGCTCAGTGGCACTGTGCCTACCTCACAAGCACAAGGTCCTGAGTTCGATCCCAGTACAAAAAAAAAAAAAGAAAAAGGGCTGGAGATGTAGCTCAGTGCAAAGGCCCTGAGTACAATCCCCAGTAGCACACACATACACACACACATACATATACAAAAGAATTACCATTATGATCCAGCCTTTTGGGGGGGGGTACTGGGGATCAAACTCAGGTCCTTGAGCTTGTGCAGCAGGTGGCAAAACCACTGAGCTAAATCCTGGGCCCTGATCCAGCAATTCTAAGCACATACCTAGAAGAATTGCAAGCAAGGACTCAAACAGGTATTTGTACACCAATGTTTATAGCAGCATTGTTCATAATAGCCAAAAGGTAGAAACAATGTGAATGTCCATCAACTGATAAATCAACAATATGTGGTTTATTCCACATAACGGGATATTACTCAACCATAAAAAGGACTTAGATTCTGATAAAACCTACAACATGGACAAACCTTAAAAACATTATACTAAGTGAAATAAAACCAACACACACAAAAAGACAGTATCATTTGATTCCACTTAGAGGAGTTTTGAAGAGTAGTCAAATTCATAGAGATAAAAAGTTACCAAGCACCAAGGGGAGAGGGAAATTATTGCTTAATGGGTACCGAGTTTCTGTTTGGGAAGCTGAAAGAAGTATGGAAATGGATAGTAGTGGTGATCACACAGCACTGAATGTACCTAATGCCACTGAATTGTAACACTTAAAAATGGTAAGTTTTGTTATGCATATTTTACCACAATTTTTAAAATCCTCTCCCTTACCCCCCCCAAAGCAAGCCCCCAAATACCCCATTCCCTAGGAAGGATCAGCCAGCCACCTCTTCTACTGAGGAGACAGAGATCTGTTCTCACTGGAATCAACACATTCTTGTATCAACTGGTCTTCCTTGACTTGACGCTTCTGCAAGCACCGACATCCCTGTAAGCAGGGAACGCCACACTCATCATCCCTGGCTCTGGCAGGCTCCATTGCACTGCATCTAATGAAGGAATGCATCTCATACCAAAGGAAGAGCAGCGAGGGGTTCAAACCCATGGAATTGGGGGGACCAAATAATCCCACTGAGAACATCAACTGGCCTGACAGGCGGGATACTTACTGAAGACCGCAACGATAGCTGAGCACCAACCCCTAGAAGGAAATGGCTCTGTCTTGAGGAATGCAATGCATTCTCTGAATGGAAAATCAATCTATGAGCTGACTCCCAAAGCAGCAATATTGAGCTCAGCAATCAAGATGCAGAGCTGACTCCTGTCAGTAGCATGCCTCATAACCCACTTGCTCACCTTTTGTTTGCCATTCTGTCAACCTTGAGTTTTGCTGATTTAGGGGAAATACTTGTGTTGGTTCTAATGAATTAAAAGATGAAACTGCCGCCTTGCCACGTGAACTCCTTATACCACTGAACCAACAGGTAAGATGTGGGTCCTCCAGGGAGCACCAAGGAGAAATGAGATTGGTTTCTCCCTGGTGCTACCTAATGGGGGCAAGGACTTCACCTACAGCCCAGGAGCTCCTCTGAGGTGCCTCTTAGAACTCAAGCCCAATATCATCATGGAAATCAGAGCAAACAAATAAAAAAGCAAAACACTTGAGAACTACGACTCTCAAATGAAAGTCTGAGTCACTCCACCAGATACAGAGCCTCAACCAGTGAGGACACATGGAATGAATAATGCCAGAAGCAGCCAAAGATATCAAGTTTACCCCTGTGGCCAATTGCAGAAACAAGGGCTAAACACTTCTCTTTGGTGTTGCAGTTATGTTTATTTGTATATTCTATTTTGTTCTCTTTCTTCCCATTATTTTATACATGGATTGTTGGAAGTTCATGTACAGTTTGGCCATTTAGGTTACAGAACATTCAGTAATACAGCCTGTTACTGAATTTGGCCACGTTTCCTCAATTTGGAGAAGGATAAGAAATTGCAAGCCATATATTTGTTTTTCCTTTTTTTTTTGGTGCTGGAGACTACCCACTCTATCATGGAGCCACACTCTGAGACCCAGAAGGTTCAGGAATTCAGATGTGTGTAGAATGGTACTTCTGGAAGCCGGGTAGCCAAAGGGATGGCCAAATGCCTGCACCATTTATCAGCATATTGCCTGTAAGCTCCAAATCCCTTCTTCTGCTGTGAAAATGGAGGTAACTCCTTCGTCTCTTACTAGATGGTGCAATTTCCAGTTTGACCTGCAGAGAATGTTTAATTTTCTGTGTTGTACAGCATACTGACAGAGCCTATAGCTTACAACACACTTGTTCCCTTGCAGTTCTGTAGGTTAGCAGCCCAGGCACACCTGCGCTACATCCTCCCCTCAAGCTCTCTCCAGGGGCAGACACACTGGTGGCCAGTCTCATGTGGAAGACTGTCCAAGCTCAATCAGACTGGGCAGAATTTGCTTCCTTAGAGCTGTATCCTTGGGGTCCCAGCTTCTTACTATTGGCTGCATGCTCCCCCCAGGGCCTAGAAGCCACCTGCAGTTCCCTCTCCAAAGACAGTTCACAGCATAGCTGTTTGCGTCAAGGCCAGCAAGAGAATCTCTCCCTCTAGTCTGCTGAGACAGAGTCTTATATAAGGAAATGCAATCATGGGAGTAAATCCCACATTTGCCATGCTCTATTGGTTAGAAAGAACCTGCAGGTCTTGTCCACACTCAAGGGGAGGTGATTATACAGATCAGGAGACACAGAATGACACTGCACAGGCAAGAGCTCATCCAGTCCTGGTGTGGACATTCAGCAGGGTCCTGCAGTCTGAGTGGTTTCTCAAGTCCTCAGCTTCAGCAGTGGATGGTGATCGGCAGAACACACAGGCCACCACTTCCTCTGGAACAGCTGTGCCCTCTCAAATGAGGTCTTTGAGCATTCTGTCTCAGTTCCATGAGTATAATGGATAATCCAGTATATATGATATTCCAGATTCCTTAAAGTACTCTTCACTTATCGGCCAAGCCCTCATTTCTCCAATTCCCTATTCTAAAAATTTTATATTAAATCTTGCTTGTTCAAATTACTGCATGATTTCTAATTCATGACCATACTTAAGATTTTCTCAGTCTTATGCATGTTTAAATACCACATTGTTTCTTTGGTGTGAGAAAATGAAAGTAGAAATAAGGACTGAAATGTATAATGGATGTTGGGAAATGGAAAGAAAATGTTAAAATGGGAAGGGGAACAAGGGAGGAGGCAGGGAGAAAGGAAGGAAAGGACAATAAAAAAGTGAAAATAGAAGGAAAAATGGAAGTAAAGCTTCTGTACACAGGAAGAGGAGGGGGCTTGAGGGGGGCAAAGGGATAAAATAAAATTTATTTAAAAATGCAAAATAAAAATAATTCAGATTGGAAAAAAAAAGATTTGCTCGGTCTTGATCCTTTAGTACCTGGCGATGCCTAGGAACTATCTACCAATGCCCACTCACCTCTTTAATTTCATTCAGAAGGTCAAGAGCACAACCAAAGTCAGGAGGAGTAGCTGACAGCTGCTCTCTAAGATGGTCCCAAAAGTCATTGTGCATTGTCTCCTTCACCTTGCCTTCGGGACTGGAAGAGGGTTAAATAAACAAATTACTCTCCAAAATTATTACGGAGCCATCATCTCTTAAGCCCCAAACAGTATCTGCTATGAAAAAAGATGATGATACTGATAAGAAAATACCAGGGACAATGTTCAAGGACATCAATGAGACCCCTCAGAAGAATGTCTCATGATTCTAGAGCACCCTTCCTCTGCAGCAGGAAGAACTCTGAATGATGAAAAGTTTTGAGAGTTTTCGTATTGACTGGGCACCTAGCCTGCATGTATAACTTTATATACATATGACATTTTATGGCACTAAATAACATGTCATTTTATATGTATATATGTACATGTTATTGAACTAAATGATCATTTTCTTATACTCCTAAAATTTAGGAAAAAGATGTTCCTTCCTTGATTTAACCCTTGAATGTCACAGATATTTCCCAGTAAGCTGGCTTAGAATGAATTCACTATTTAGTCCCTCCATACCCATTCCTCTTGTATTCTCAATCTCAGTAGCATTACTATCTAGCCAGTCACGGAAGCCAAAAAAAAATCTTTTTTGTTGTTATTTTCACCTTAAAAGAAGTATAAAATGCAAAGGCAATTCAATTTAGAAAAGAAAAGCTTTCCAACAAAGATGGCATTGGAACAACTCGAGGTCCACATACAAAAATTGAATCAAAACACTGACCTTATACCCATCAGAAAAATTAAACTCAAAATGGACATAAATCTACAAGTAAAACATAAAACTATAAAACCCTAAAAAGATAAACATAGAAAATTTAAGTGATCTTGGGTTTGATAGTGACTTTTTAGAGACAACACCAAAAGCAATCAGGAAATGGAATGAAAAACTGGTAACGTAGACTTCATTAAAGTTAAAATTTTTGTGAGCCAGGGATTTAGCTCAGTGGCACCGCGCCTGCCTTGCAAGCACAAGGTGCTGAGAAAAAATTTTTTTTGCCAGGCATGGTGGCGGCACGGCTATAATCTCAGCACTTGAGAGGCTGAAGCAGGAGGATCACTGTGAGTTCGAGGCTAGCCTGGGCTACATAGTGAGTTCAAGACCACCCTGAACTATATAATGAGACCCCAAAATTAAATTAAATTTAAATTTTCTGCTCTGTAAAAGACACTGTTAGAGAATAAAAAGATCCGCTGGGCATGGTGACCTTCTTGTAATCCCAGCTACCCGGGAGGCTGAGGCAAGACCACCACAAATTTGATGCCACCCTGGACAACTCAGTAAGACCCTGTCTTGAAACTTTAAAAAAAGGGGGCTAGGAATGTCCAGCAAGTGAAAGACTCTGAGTTCAAACCCTGATTTTGGAAAAAAGAAAAGGGCCAAGCCACAGACCAGAGACAATTTTTGACAAAGGATACAAAGATATAACGCATCCTTAAAATTTAACAATAAGAAAATGAGGAGGCCAGGGATTTAGCTCAGTGGTTTTGCCACCTGCTGAGCAAGCGCGAGTACCCAAGTTCGATCCCCGGTACCAAAAAAAAAAGAAAAAGAAAATGAACATCCCAAATAAAACTGGCCCAAAGAGCTTAATAAATGTCTCAATAAAGAAGGCATAAAATCAGCCTACAAAAAGATGCTAAACCTCCTTAGGGTTATGGTTTATATCTAGAGGCTTTCCTAAAGCCTCGGGCATTCAGAAGAGGCAGGCACTGGGGGTGTGGCCTGGAGGGTGCATCTCCCTTCCAGCTCCTCCCTTCCTCCTCTGCTTCTGGGCTGCCATGATGTGAGCAGCTTTTCCTCCACCAAGCCCCTCTCCCACATGCTCATGACTTGGAGCCAGCAGACTATGGACTAAAAATGTGAGCCAAAATAATCTCTCCTCCTTTAAATTGTGGGTGTTGGATAGTGTCTCACTGAGGAGAAAAATGACTAAGATAATGAGGGGACTGCAAATTAAAAAATAACAGCACTCCATACCTATTTAGAATGACCAAAATCAGAATACCGGTAACAGCGAATGCTGGCAAGGATGCTGGACATGCATTTACTTCATTCATTTAAATGAGTTTAAATGAGCATGACATTGTAATCAGAATTCTACCTGAGAAAAATCAATTTTAGCACGGACTGGCAGGAACATGGAAAACAGATTAAAAATAGCCAAGACTAGAACAACAGGAACTTTCATTTATTGCTGGTGAGAATACAAAATGGTACAGCCACTTTGAAAGTTGGCAGTTTCTTACAAAACTAAACATAGTCTTATCGGATCATCCAGCAATTATGCTCTTTGGTATTTACCCAAATCATGTGAAGACGTATGTCCACACAAAAATCTGTATGTAAATATTTATATCAGCTTCATGAACAACTCCTAAAACTTGGAAATAACCAAAATGTCCTTGAATTGGCAAATGTACAAATAAATTGGTATATCCATACAGGGTAATTTTTAATGTTTACCGTAAGTGAAAGAAGCTAATCTGAAAAGGCTATCTACCGTACGATTCCAACAATCATGGAGACTGTAAAAAGATCAGTGGTTATGAATGGCACAGAAGGGCTGAGAGGGAGGGATGGATAGATGAAATACACCCAATTTTCCAGGGCCACGAAATCATTCTCTATGATACAATAATAGGGTATATGTCATTATATATTTTTCAAAATCCATAGAATGTATAATACAAAAAGCTACCCCGATGTAAACTATGAACTTAATAACAATGTAAACTATGGACTTAATACTTTCTTAAAAATTAAATACAGACTTAATAATAAACTATGACTTAATAATAAATGATAATCTATTAATATTGGTTCATCAATTGTCACAAATGTGCTACACTAAGACGTACTTAATAGGAGCAACTACATGAGGGAGGAGAGGGGAATAGGAGAACTCTATACTTTATCATTTTTCTATAAATCCAAAGATAATGTAAAAATAAAGCCTATTAATTTTAAAAATTAAAATAACAGGAATTAATGTTCCTTTACATGTTTATTTAAATGAAGTCTCTGATTAGAGCATTATACTAAGGGAAAAAATATGGAAATTCTGAGGCTGTATCTAGTCATTTCAGACAGCCGTTTCCTTGAATTAAGCATCTTCCCTCAAAAAACAGATACATGAACCCTGTACAAAAATTACAATACAAAGATAAAACAAAAAGTTGAAGTTCCTCTCTGAACACACCCATCTCAATTGTCAGAGCTGACTATAACCTAAAAGTTTAGTGGGCACTGAAACTGTTAACTTCTTTCTCCTCTTGCTATCTATGCAACTGATTGCTAAGTTCCACAAATCCTGCTTCGTCAATGTCTCTGGACTCCTTCCCCTTCTTCCATCATTTCTCAGCATTCGCTGGTCCCCTTCCTTCAGTCTTGTCTCTTTTTAATCTTTCTCTATATCACCACAAGTCCATGCTAAAATTGATGATTTTTGTAAAATGCAATTCTGACCATGATGTCATGCTCATTTAAAGTCCTTTGGAGGCTTCCTATCATCAGAAGGAAATGGCTTATATGACAGTCAGGGCTCAGGAAACAGTACCCCCAAAATAACCCTTTGAACCTCAAACTGAGAGTGCCTAGGGAGCAGGAATTTCAGGGAAGGGATTTCTCTGCACTTCCTCCATCAAACTAAAGGCTGGATCCTCCAGAAGATGTTCTAACACTGTTACTCCTGATCCCAGGTACCGCATCAGCTGTGGGAGACCTGCAAAGCACAGGAAGCTGAGACCTGACTCGACACTCAGAGCCCAGACATCTTGGGCCCTTTCATCTCCCCTAAAAATCATTTAGTTTTCTTCTAAATCTGCCTATACTCACCCCTCCAGTTCCCTCTCCCCTATGAAGGTATCTAAGCATCAACCATTTGGTTCTCCGAGTTGAGTGTTTTGTGTGACTCTCATGTTAACAAGTTTGTATTCCTCTTCTGTTAATCATTCTATTGTCAGTTTATTTCAGCACTCAATTATCAGAGGGAAAGCCTGAATTTTCCTATAGTTTTGGCATAGTCATCTGGATAGCAAATCATGCTGCTCATTTCAGAGCCTGCAGATAGGATCCAAGGACAAATGACAAAAGTCAGCAAAGAAAGAACTTTCACTGAAGTCAGTTCTTACACAAATCCAAATGAAAAGAGACACACAGAAATAAGTTTTAGAACAAAATTTAAATGCTTTAAACAGAAGATTTTTTTGGATCTCTGGGACTGTGGGTTTTTTTTGGTTTGTTTGGTTTGTTTTTTGGTACCGGGGGTCGAGCTTGGGTCCTTTCTCTTGCGCAGCAGGCAGTGAAACCACTGAGCTAAATCCCTGGCCCATCTGGGCCTGTGGTTTAAACTTTCTCTCCTCTGAATCGAGCTATATTCCTTAATAAATTCCTTGAGTTCAAGAAAGAAACATTTATAAAAATTAGTCTGAATTTTGTTTTGAATTTGTATGACTCTCGGCTACTGGGGCATCCATTTGTTAGAGATTCTTTTCCCTTCTACGGACAGTACTTGTTTTCCTGTTGCTCTTGCTTTGCTTTTCCATCCATGGGAATACATGGGCTATGGGTGGAGGTATGAAGGTAGCCAACCTAAAGGCTGGGAACTCCAAGAGTATGGAGAATTGCACCTCACTGTGGCAGGCATACCAGCTGCTGCACGATCTAAGCGCTTCTTTTTGCCTTTCTTCAGGAATGGTCTGAGTCTTGAAAGAGCTGAATCTTTCACTCCCTCTTCTGAAGACCTTGGATAAAGCCATAAAAGATTCTATTAGTTTTGATCTTGAGTAAAAACAAATCTGAATTATATCTGTGCCTGTCACTTGTAGACATACTTTGGTTTAGAACCCTGACTTATATTCAGAGGATGACAGGAATTTTTTTCCTCCTTTCCTAAGCTACGAAGGAACTACATACTCAGAAAGAAACTGGTTTATTAAAATACTAAGACATCTCTAAATCTGAACAGATAAACCTTTTGATTTCCATCTTCGTTGGAAATCTGCTCCCTGATATGAAAAAGCAACCTAAAGATAATACAGTTGGGGA